CCACCCACCGAGATGTTATGATCGCCCAGGGTCTCTAGGACACATGCCACGCACATCTGCAGCTGTTGCTGCTGCTGTAGCTGCTGACCGGGCCTCTGAACCGCGGCCAATGTCCAGCTGGGTTCATGGGCCGCGTGGTCGCGATGACAAAGTGGGTCCATGGCCAGAAGCCTCCTCGCCGCCTCCCTCCTCCTCCTCTTCACTGATCGCCAGGGGGGGGCAAAACGAGACTGAGTGGATGTCCCTTAAAACAAAATGATGCCTGGGCCTTCTCTCCTCCGTGTGAGGTCCCCGTCCGAGACGTCTGATTGGCGAGAAGGCCTGTCCTGATCGATGGCCTGCACACTTGGCGATGGTGGTGATGATGGTGGTGATGCTGTGGCGGCACGTGCTCGAGACTCACCACGAAGCTCCTGATTGGTCACCCGCCAATCACTTACGGCTGGAGGCCGTAAGTGATTGGCGGCCCCCGGTGACCTTTAGTGCGGCCCCTGGTGACCTTGAGCTCGGCCCCTGGTGACCTTCAGTCTGGTGATCTTCAGTGCGGCCCTTGGTGACCTTCAGTGCGGCCCCTGGTGGCCTTGAGCTCGGCCCCTGGTGGCCTTCAGTCTGGTGATCTTCAGTGCGGCCCTTGGTGGCCTTCAGTGCGGCCGCTGGTGGCCTTCAGTGCGGCTCTTGGTGGCCTTCAGTCTGGTGACCTTCAGTGCGGCCCCTGGTGACCTTGAGCTCGGCCCCTGGTGGCCTTCAGTCTGGTGACCTTCAGTGCGGCCCTTGGTGGCCTTCAGTGCGGCCCTTGGTGACCTTCAGTGCGGCCCCTGGTGGCCTTGAGCTCGGCCCCTGGTGGCCTTCAGTCTGGTGATCTTCAGTACGGCCCTTGGTGGCCTTCAGTGCGGCCGCTGGTGGCCTTCAGTGCGGCTCTTGGTGGCCTTCAGTCTGGTGACCTTCAGTGCGGCCCCTGGTGACCTTGAGTCTGGTGGCCTTCAGTGCAGCCCCTGGTGACCTTGAGTCTGGTGGCCTTCAGTGCGGCCCTTGGTGACCTTCAGTGCGTGCCCCTGGTGGCCTTCAGTGCGGCCCTTGGTGGCCTTCAGTCTGGTGGCCTTCAGTGCGGCCCCTGGTGACCTTCAGTCTGGTGGCCTTCAGTGCGGCCCTTGGTGGCCTTCAGTGCGGCCCCTGGTGGCCTTAAGTGCAGCCCCGGGGTGGCCTTCACTGCGGCCCCCCGACAATACACCAAGAGTGAAAACACTACCCCCCCCCCCCCCCCATCGTCATCGTGCTGCTATCAACCCCCCAATGGTGTCAAGTGTGTGGCGGCCCTCGCACACGGACGATGTGGGCCCCACGCCTCTGAACGTGAGTGACCAACAGCGATGGATGGCGTTGAACTTCATTCGCAACCGTACGGAGCCAACGAACTGATGGATGGGGATTTTTTGCTGTGACAGTTTCACCTGAAGACGGAAGCTTGTGTTGCCTCCGAAACGTCGTGATTTTCTTTTTTTTCTTTTTTATTAATTTAAATTAAATTTTTTTACCTACGTGACGTTACCGAAAGAACTAAGAGTATGGCTAAAATAAGGTCCACGTGGCACCCGTGTCAATCCACTGCTGGATGAGGGCCTCCCCAGGCACCGCGGGTCGTTGTGGTTTGGTGAAGGTGGTGACAGCATTGATGTTGGATCATATTACAGCGCGACCAATGGATGTTGCTTAGCTGCCCACAGCGTGACCCCCTACAGGCGTCTAGGGGCCGTCCATAAATGACGTCACGCGATTTTGGAGGATTTTTTACCCCCCCCCCCCATCGTCACACGGCGTCACAAAAAGTCAGACCCCCCCCCTCAAATATGACGTCACGAAGCTCTGCCCCCCCCCCCCCCCAAAAATATATAAAACATGCTTCCAATCGCTTTAAACTATTGTCATTGTAGTGCGTATTTAATGTGGCGCTGCACTCTGATGTTGTAGGAGAAAACATTTATTAAAAGTAAATTTAATTAAGTAGAACGTGTTGTCTATATTTAAATTTGCGCATTTGTACGTGACGTCACATTTCTCAACACCCCCCCCCCCCCCCCGTTACACATCGTCACAAATGTCTGACCCCCCCCCCCTCCCTAGGTGCGTGACGTCATTTATGGACGGCCCCATAGAACAAACATGTTGAGTTGTGGTCGACCATCCTCGCACTATCTATACAGGCTCAAATCCTGCTTCACATCCGAGATCTGATAAGACCGTAGTATTTGAGACTATTTTAGTTGTGGCTTGTAGGATGACAATCATAAGAGACTATTTAAGAGTTGGCCTGTGGCGGCATCTGCGGGCATTACATTTTAGCTTCCCGCTACGCGTATTTGATTCGATGCTTTCATTTAATTCAAACAACGGGGAAGCTCATGGTTGAAACACTTTTCTATACGCACAATTACAACGTTTTTTATTTTTAAGTCGCCGTCAGCTTTTGAGAATTGTGGTTTAGAGTTTTGTTTGGGCTCTTGTTTTAATGAAATTGGAAGTAACTTAAATATTGATTAATCCTTAGGCACCGCCCACCTCCCTTTCAGGCCACGCCCATCTTCTTTAGGCCACGCCTCCTCGTATTTAAGCCCCGCCCCTTATCAGGCCCCACCCTCTTATGCAAGCCCCGCCCCTCAGCAGGCCCCACCCTCTTATGCAAGCCCCGCCCCTCATCAGGCCCCGCCTTTTTATGTTAAGGCCCCGCCTCTTTTGCTTGAGACTCCACCCCCTCGTGTTTAGGCCACACCCCTTTTCTCTTTCGGCTCCGCCCCTCCCTCCGCATACCAGCCTCAACTTTAAAGAATTTCGATTTCAAGCTTTCGTGACTGCAGGGATTCATCTTCTTGGTTCTTTCGGTAAAGTCACGTAGAATTATTTTATTTTATTATTTTATTATGTTTTATTATTGTATTATTTCCATTCTACGTGACTTTACCGAAAGAACCAAGAAGTTTAAAGAAAGACTCGAGACAGCTTTGGGCTCCAGCCAAGTTGATTTGAGCGAGACAGCCGTGAGTGGGTGAGCGTTCGCGTCAGTCCTAAAGGGTTCAAAAAAATCAGTAAAGGCCCCGAACTGGATGGAAAATCCTTGGGACAAACCCAAGAAACTGGTGAAAGAAAACTCACGATATTGAGACAGTAACCCAAGAATCCGATAGGAAAAGCCATTCATTTGAGGCACACAAACATGTAACGGTCACCCAGGCCAGTGCTCAACGAGTGTGTGTGTTGTGAATTACTGAATGAGTTTGCGCAGCGGCTACTACCCCCCTAGGGGCCGTCCATAAATGACGTCACGCACCTAGGGGGGGGGGTCAGACATTTGTGACGATGTGTGACGAGTGGGGGGGGTTGAGAAATGTGACGTCACATCAAAATGTGCAACTTTAAATAAATATAGACAACACTTTCTACTTAATTAAATATAATTTAAAAAATGTTTTCTCCTACAACATCAGAGTGCAGCGCCACATTAAATACGCACTACGATGACAATATTTTTTTTCGATTTGAAGCATGTTTTATTTTCAAAATGGAAATATGGTTTAGGGGGGGGGGGCAGAGCTTTGTGACGTCATATTTGAGGGGGGTCTGACTTTTTGTGACGTCGTGTGACGAGAGGGGGGGGGGGGGTCAAAAATCGTCCAAAATCGCGTGACCTCATTTATGAACGGCCCCCTAGTGATTGAAATAATCACTGTGCAATTTTGACTGAAAACCTTCGTGACTGCAGGAATTAATGTTCTTGGTTATTTCGGTAAAGTCACGCACTACTTGTACGTGTGGTGCTCCGTCCATGCTGTTAACGCCGCACAGATTTGCTCACTTTCATGTGTTGCGACCGAAACGTCGTGGGGTTTTTTCCTTTTAGTTTTATTTTACATTTATTTTTTTAATGTATTTTCTATCTACGTGACTTTACAGAAAGAACCAAGAATATGAATCACTGTGAAGTTTAGATTCCCACTTTTTCTTCTTCTGCGAGGCTGAAAGTAAAAGACAACTTTTGTAGCCGACCCTTATATAAGATCTGAACCACCGGCAGCATCTGCCGGTGCACAGCAATAAATTAGGGGGCGGGGAAGGCATCAATCGCCCCCCTGCCCCCTACTCGAACCACTCCCACACCTTGGATCTGCCACAATCAGCACAGCGTGGGGAGAGCATTCGTCCAGCGTGCACGTAATTCACAAGCTCAGTGTCTCGTCCGAATGCAAGGCAAGCGTGGTGGCATTTTGTAAACAAGAATTATGCCGCTACCATTCTCAGCAAAGGGACAGTGAACTCTGCCACACACAAAAAAAACATCCAGACTTCAACCGTTTCACACGAGTCTTAGGTGTCACCAAATAAAACAATAAAAAATCACAACGTTGTATTTTATTAATTTTACCTACGTGACTTTACCGAAAGAACTAAGAGTATGAATCCTTGCAGTCACGAAAGCTTCAAATCTAGAATTGTCACCAAATACCCAACAAAATTCAAACGGCAGGGAATTTTATATTTTAGGGACGCGTGCGATGTGCAACAACCGGGGAAACTAGTTGTAAATTTGAACAAAGACCCAACGTGGATCCTTGCCAGGCTGTTGGGAGACAAGTGCTGTCAGAGCAAGCGCCGATGAAAAGCCGGCATGGCAGACGAGGGGGAGATGTGGCCAGAACCACACCTGGCCTCGCCTTTGTCTACCCAGTGCCAATGTTTACTCCACACCACGACAGGTACTCGTTTAAGGATGAGCCGATGAGGGGGGAGGCCCAAGACCTGTTCAGGTGTCACAAATATTACTTGCAAGCTCGAATCGAACTCGGGTCGCCAGGTTAGCACGCTCACGTACACATGTGGAACGTCTTTCGCACCGTACGTAGCCAACCGCGCTAATAAGGGGGTGCGGGGGAAGGACAACAACACAAATATCAGTTCTAAAGAGAGGAGTTTCAGACCGTACATTACGTCAGTTGAACACGCATAAACAGAACTTATTTTTAAATTACCACATTTTATTCAAAATTATGCATTGAGAACATTCCTCCCACGAGCAAATGCCCATAATTCAGTGCACAGGCCACGTGACGTGAGAACCCACACCGGCGAGATGGTGTTCAAATTATAACTCGGTGCAGCTGCACTATAATATAATCGTTCAGTGACATGACTATAGTGTGTGCAGGGGCTGTTTGTGCCAACCTGCACATTGCGTGCCCTCACACATGCCAGCTCGAGTCGATAGAGTTTCCCGGAAACCCACCCCCCACTCAGCAGCAGCTTAATTACAAACAACCCACACTTTGTTTCCGACACAGATCCAACTGTGTCAAGTGTGAAATAGTTTACAAGTTGAAATTAGCTTACATCATTTACATGGATTAACATACATTGTTCGATAAGCTGCGGGAATAGATAACTTAAGATTTTTTCAGTAAAATTTCAAAATAACATTAACATACGTACGGCACATTCTAAGCATTTGGCTTGCATGTGCGGAGCCAGTGAATAGCAACACGCCGTTACCACCGGTGCCTTCACGCAACAAATGCGTCACCACACCAGCAGCATTAACGATCCGTACGATGTGATCGATTTGCTGCCACAAGCAAGCGGTCGTCTTCCATGGCCACTGCAGTTAGCAATCATGTGAAAGCAAGCAAGGTAACCTGGGCTCAGCCCAACCGTTACTTCTAGCCAGGGATCATGGGGGGGGCAAGGGAGGGACACTTTCTGCTATTTTTAAATCCTTTATATTAAGTTCGCTTGCGTGCTTGCTTACGACCGTGCAAACCTTTCGGTCGTTTTTTAACCCACTTCCCGTGACCCAATCGAGCTGACATTTTGCACACAGACTCGTTGTGCGAGACAATTAATGTTCGTGAAAAAAAAATTCCAAAATTATACACTGTTTAGGGAAAACAAATTAAATATTTAATTACCAATTGCTTAATACTGGCAGACAATCATCTGACCCATAGGTGGCAGCCATCTCAAGCCAGAGGACGAGAGGACGCTGGCCGCCACGCATATAAAGGATTTAGAGTGAAAAACTTTGTTTTTACGGGTTATACTTATTAGTTGGCGATTTTTTTGCAGGGTGTAGCGGCGATACAGTGTTCAGCGCATTGCGCTACGAACCCAGAAACCTGAGTTCGATTCAGTTTATGGCTAACATTAATGGCAAGTGATGTCGAATTGTCTTGGGACACCTCCATTCAAATAACCATTATGACTGACAAGAGTGGGAAGGCCATCATGCAGTGCCGTGCATTCCACAAAAGTCCAGAGGGAAACCTTTTCAATCATGTGTACATCACTTTGGAATCGTGCACCTTGCCTATTTGACATGATATAAAGACATATAATTATTTTGGCAGATATGCTCCGTATTCCATAAACATATGTTCATACTGAATTCTTTGAGCTAGCAGCTGTGTTCGTATACTTAAAAAAGTAAAAACGATCGTCAACATTTTTTTTTATAAACTTTCTATGACACACATAGAATTTAGTTTTCCTATTTAAGAAACCCTATTCGATGTGCAGATAACTTGTACAACATGAAACTACCACAATTCAAGCAAATTATCTATATATTTTTTACGTGAAAAGATCAATATTTTATCTTTCCTTTTAATTTATGCAGCACTGAATACTGTTATAGAAAGTAGACCCTGTTTTGCCTCATTCCATTTGCTCCACTGCTTTGGAATTGGAAAAAGATTTCTATGTAACTGTAATATAATTAAGGCAAATATAGATTTGAAAGGATTGAAAAGTACAAACATTTGTAATTTATCTTAACAATGATATAAGCATGAACATTGAACACATAATCTTTAACATTGTGTTCCAACAACAAACATGAAGGAACATTTGTTTTCACAGTTTAAGAAATTATCGTTTACGTTTCAAGTCTTAAGATTCTGAAAAAAAAATCGATTGTCATAAATTTCAACATCAGAATATAAACAATTATTTTCACTATGCCATATAATTCAGCCAATTTTGGCTGAATATGGACAATCACAACTCACACGTTATGGGTGCTGTACGCTCATTTGAGAAGGCTGCCCTCTGGAACCTTAGATGGTTCTCGGCTTTAAAAAAAAACAGAGACACTAAAATGTACACAAGATGTTCACCCGTGCACACTGTCTACAGCCCAGGTACTTAAGAAACATCGAGAAGAGCACTGAGGATCAATCTTGCAGTGGATTGATCGTGGCTGATGAAGATGATGATGAGCATCAGAGGTGGATACCATCACTTTATGCAAAGTACCGTAAACACCATTGTGACCGCCGTTGTAAATTGTAATCGATGTTAAAATTGTATAGTACATGAAAGCAAAGTAAAAATTCTCATTTGCTGACGAAGTAAATGTTTGCTAAGGGAAACCACGTATAAAAAGATCACATCTTCCTAAGTTTATGTTGATCATAATCTTGATATACCTTATTGTCATTACATCTTTGGAAAATGTCAGCTCAAAGAAAAACAAAATATTATTTTTTACATTTTTGCACAAAATAAAACACAATCAATGCGTTTCACATTTTTTTGTAAATCATCTGTATTTGAATATTTTTTTGTAAAAGATCTCATCATACAACGGCTGCATGCTTTGCACCCACCATTGTGGGGATTTCCCCATCTCAAGCACGGTCTGAAGCAGTGCAAATCCACAAATGTTTGGGGAGGCAGCCCCATCCTTTCCCATTTTACCATGGTGCTATACAGCTAGAGCCAACCACGCACTTCCAAAATAATGTTGTTCTTGCTCATTTACCTACAATTAAACAATCCCCCAGACTGCATCCTTGGCAAAGACTCCCTAAGTTTTATCACTCTCATCTACCGACCAGCATTCACGCTTCCTGCGTGAAGATACGGCGGACTTCCTTGGTGACCTGATCCAGGTTTATGATTGGGTTGAAGTACAACGCCCAGTAGAAGAGACAGTCACACACAAACTGTGGCAGCACCGGCCAGAAAATGGTGACCATGGCGCCCTGTGAGAAGAGACGACAGAAGTCGTTCCAAAGGGTCCGGGGCAACCGTCTGAAAATTAAAAGACGAAAAATGGCGCTCATTTTAACATAATATATAGCTTTACGGGCTTCCCACAACAAAGATAGTATCCACTTGTACATATATTCATTAATGCAGTTAGCCAAACATACAAATATAGAAAAAAATTCGGGCAACTGTTGGCACGAGTTATGGCTGCATTCCTGCTTTACTGGTTCCCATGCCTTGAAATCGGTCCATGTTTGGACAGCGTTTTGAGATACAATCTTATATATAACTGATCAAATATATCCATACATTATTACTATTATTATAAACAGCCCTTTGTTGTCAATCCACTGCTGGAAGAGGGCCTTCCACACTACTGGCACACCCACAAGCAGCGGACACAACCTGCAACGCAACACGTTGTGCCGAGATCAAGTTTGCAATAAGTATAACCCGTAAAAACAAAGTTTTTCACTATAAATCCTTTATATGCGTGGCAGCGAACTTAATATAAAGGATTTAAAAAATATATTCGCCTGTGGAGGACGCGGGGATCGATCCCGCGACCTTTGGCATGGGAAGCGAGGGCGCTACCAACTGCGCTACTCCGCCACGGCCTGTGGAGGGGTTACGCTCTTGGCTCTTACACTCTGACGTTCAGCTAAAGCCATGAATTAGTTCTATTTGAATATATGTAAAATAATTTTTTTTTGCCTAAAAAGTGTAAAATTTTGGGAATTCTTTTTTCACGAACAATAATTGTCTGGCACAACGAGTCTGTGTGAAAAATGTCAGCTCGATTGGATCACGGGAAGTGGGTTAAAAAACGACCGAAAGATTTGCACGGTCCTAAGCAAGCAAGCACGCAAGCACGCAAACTTCATATAAAGGATTTAAAAAGGAATGGCACCGCACCGGATCTCCCCTTGCAGACAGAAGCGTTTGATCGCGAAGATTTCCAGCAGCGTGAGCAGAGCTGCATTGATAACAACGAAGCGAGCCGTCCAGTAGTGCACCTCCAGCCACTCCCAGGCGAACCGCCCCACCAGCACGTAGGGCATCACCATCGCCTTGGGTAGGAACTCGGCCCACTGCTCCCAGCTCGGACTGTCAGGCTGCCCGCCACACACACACACACCAAATCGGTCACCGTTCACCACTAAGTTACAGTGAAGACACCACAGCTCTTATGCTCGGCTAGGTGCACTTTTGAGGCCAGGTGAAGCGACGAAGGCTCTCTAGGCAGGACGTCATGGGACAGACCCAGGCGTTGTGGGTTAACCGAATGAGATTACTTGATAGAGGACTAAACATTTCACAAGCGCAGCAACACACACAAAATTCCACGTGCATAAAAGCACAAACTCAGGTGAATATGAAGAGTGAAGAGAGTGAAGACACACTCGGCGCGCTTACCCAGCCACCGCGAAAGAGCTCAGCCTCCTCCTCATGCACGCGGCCGGGGCAGCACGTGTGGATGAGCGGCAAGAAGAGGTCGGTGTAGTCAAACAGGTAAAGGTAGAAGATGGCAAGGCGAGGTGAACTTTTCAACAAAAAGAGGAGGAAGAGAGACTTTCCTGCATGCATTGCCTGCAAAGGGACACCACAAAACTCTTAAAAATGTACTTGTAAAAATATTAATTCGCTTTTTACAATGCTGCCTTCTATAATACACACCGGTGACATTTATACACGAAGATTTGGTACTTAGGACTGATAAAAACAGGGCATCGCGTTAAATTTGGTTCGACACTTAATGTGGTTAAATTCCAGCACTAATAATAATTAAACATTTTCAGTTTGAAGGTCACGCGACAAACATTACTCTCTGGGGCATGGTTGGGTGGAAAAGTGCCGACCCCTACAACGTACAACGTGGACCAGAGGTCACTTGGAGGGATCTCAGTGGTAGCTCTGTAATATCCTTGCCGACTGGGCCCTTCTCTAACATATGCAATGTTCCACAAGGGACCTGTATGTGTTTTTAATCTCTTGACAAGACACCGATAGCACAATTAGGATAAAACTTGGGGTAAAGACAAAACCAAAACGACTTGCTATTAAATAAGGTACGAGGTTTCTTCTCTACCTTGTACTCCCACAGATTGTGTGGGGGCTTGACTCCCAGAGATATCATGCTATCCAGGGCTGTGATGAGAGCTTTGCGATGAGCCGGCTTCTCTATACCGTACGGTGGCAGGTTGAGCTCCTCTTCCGTGAGGCTCAATAGAAGCCTGCAACAAATCATCAGCACAGCGTGAGTGTACGCGTCCCCCTACATGGGGGTTCTAAGCAAGGAATAGGGTACATGACGCAGATTAATTGGTTAATATCGATTTTTACACTCGAATCCTGCATGTGAGAATAGGTATTTTATGGAAAAATAAATACAAATGATACGCCGTTATGTTTAGAATAAATGAGACAGCAGAAACAAGGCAAATTCGCAACTCCAAATCGTGAACAAATTTAACAACTTACAAATATTAATTTCTGTAAAGGTATCAACTAGGTATGGAACGACACTTTGATATGCATTGTTCACAATAAATGCAATGAATTGCGTGTGCGAGAACCAGTCTTTTTATATGTTGTATTTAATTAGTTAATGTGACCCTTACAGCTACAAATGACTACATTCACCACAACATTAAAAACAAGTAGTCTCAAATACAAATGTTGCTCCCAAATCCTAACAGGATTTTAATAAAAATATAAATACAAACACTTGCCACCCGATCCTTAACCCTGCACGTGGTGGCAGACTGACCTGCCATTCACGCCCTCTTGTTGGAAAGTTTCCCGGTATGGTACAGTCCAGCTTCCCAACTGCTCCAGCCATAGCCCCACGTCACTGCTCGTCCACTTGCTCAGAGACTTGTGAACAAGCATCTCCTCGCCCGTGTCTCCGCTGCTCCAGTGGTACACCAGCAGCATCACCTGGTGGGCCCCAAGCGCATACCCCCCAAGCTTTATTGACCATCGATGTTCGTTTACAATTCCCAATAAGATGCATATTCTCCATATGCTACTCTCCATGTGCCCTCCGCTTTAGTCAAGACCTCCTGTCAAAACTCTCAGACAAGCTCTGCTCAGTGTTCTTCTATGAAAGCACACATTGTATAGGACTCCCTGAACTAGGAGTCTGCCGAAAATCCTTCCTATTCAATTTCAAGCTGAACACTGTCCTATTCACCCCAGCCTATGATTCACCGTCACTCAAGAAAATATTTTCTTACTCATCTTGACCATATTGTAATCTCATCCCCCTATCTGGCCTGTTTCCTTCTTCCTCTTTCTGCCTTACCTCTGATGTTTTCACAAGAGACCATCCTTTTCTAAGATGTGTATATTCCCTATATTAATACAGAACCCTGAGAAAAAAAAGTTAACTTTATTTACCAGGAAAGGCCCACGGAGCTATTTGCTATTTTTCAGAAGCGACGCAACCACAAATGATAGCTCAAGGAAGTGGCTTATCACGTGTGAATTTACAGCAGCCAAATACTCATAAAAGCATTTTTCTAAACGTGGAGGGAAAAACCAAAGGACCCGGAGAAAAATCCACGTGACCGCGGGGAGAAAGACATGCAAACTCCAAATATACGGGCGTTAGGGTCACGACCTCCTGCATACCAGTTGAGGTAGTTACCATCTCGTCATCGTAGCACCGTTACATACTGCAACATCATCATTGTCCAGAAGCATTAGCAGTGCTGTTTTCAGAAAGGTCAAGATAATTCTGTAATGTTAAACATTTCATTAATGCACTGTAACATGTTACATTCATTCACCACTGCATACAACTAATCGGTATTCTGGAAAAACTTGCTCAACCGGCTTTGGGTGAGATCATCCACAAGAAATGCAACATTAAACCCAGGACTTTAACCTACCGCATCAAATGTCACCACTTAAATCATCACTTCTCGTAGAACCAATGTTAAATCAGTACATGGCACATACAGGTTTTTTTTTTAAACGTAGGCAATGACATTCACACCACCACGACGCAGCACCGCCATGACAAACGCCAAGGCATCTCACCCCACCACCAGGGCAAACGCACCGCGACGCAGGTGAGCGCCGTGAGAACGCCTGAGAAGAAACTGCGTGCGGTGCCCTGGCGAAGAACCGCCGGACGCCCGTTGGCGGCGCTGATCTGCTCCAGGCCCTGCTGTTCAAACGCCGCCAGGGTCTGTGCCGTCTTGCCGTTGCTCAGCACCTCCTGCTGTCTGTGCCAGAGCTGCTCGGGAAACAACTTCTCTATCGCGCCTCTAAAAAAGAAAAAATGCAGAGACATGAGTATCACTGGAAAGCACTGTGGGAAAATCTTGTGTTAATTTTATACAACTATAAAAATAAGCATTGGTAATATATTTCATACAATGTTTCACTCCAAATACGCTTTTTGCATGCCTTTGAACAAATCACCCAGATTGCACCAGATCTCATCAGACATCGGAAGCTAAGCCGGGCTATGCCTTGGAAGTGTTGGAATGGGCGACCGTCTTGCATAAGGGATGCTTTATAGGCTGCGGGTTGACGATGTGGCCTGGAGACGGCAGTGCAGAAAAAATATATTGTCCTCATTTCTGTAATCCCATGTCAATGCTCACTGCCTTCATCAGCCACATTGGTGACGTATGGTCATACAACCCCTATGACCGACATTGTGAAGGGGCCATCATCCAGCCATGGATTGACAAACATTAACCCTTTGCATAACACACACTGTGGTATTCTCCCATGACCATAAGAAAACTAGTGTTCTCTGGTGAGTGGAGTTCATAACAAACTTTTATGAAAACGCATTTACTGAGCTGATCCCCAAAGGATGATCATGCATAGAAGCCAGCAACCAAGGGCACTCATGACAACAGAGCAGATACCAACACGTTCGAATAACTGAGATGATGGAAGGGAGTTCTGAGAGTCAAGCAGTATTCAAGTTGGAGGAAAATATATTTTGGATGCTGAAAACTAGCAATTCAACACATTTGGGAATGAGGGGAAGAGACTCAATGTGGTAAAATTAGCCCTTGACCATGGTAGTCACCACTGCCCGACGAAAACATGTAATGGGCTTTATTTCAAGTTGAAATCAAGCAGGTTCTTGTTACCACATAAAATTATTGTTTTCAAGTCAGCAGCGATGAATAGTTTCATCACACTTAGCTGGGTATCTACTATTATACTTTGAAGCAAATTCACTGATGAGAAGAAAAACGTTCATGACAGATCCAGAGTTGATGTATAACATCACGCATTACCTTCAAAGCTTATCAATATAAAGTGTGAGGGTGCAGTGATTAGTGCACTGCATTACGAATCAGGATACACAAGTTTGATTCTCAGCCACAGCTAACGTGAGAAATTATTTTTAAAAACCTAAATCCATTTTTTTTTTAACCAGGCAAGGCCCACTGAGCTCTTTTTAGAAGCGACTTGGCCACAAACGATAGCTCAACGTGGCTTATCGTTTGGAAATGTATAACAGCCAAATACTATAAACGAGTGTTTCTAAATGTGGAGGGAAAACCCAGAGGACCCAGAGAATATGGGATACGAACCAGTCATAGATTTTATCAACCCACACTGGTCAACAACTATCATGACCGACATGGCATGGGAAATCTATCATTCATTGGTGGATTGACAAACAGACGAAATGTCAATTTAACACGTAGGCTTTTGCGACCAATATTATTCATAATATAGGTTTTTGGGTTAGATCGCGTTAATTATAAATGTGTCGTAACCCTCCACCACCCGACAAGGCCAAACAGTAAAAAATGTGTCACGTTTTTCAAAGGACAAAATAATTAACTTCTTTAGCCCACCGGTGTGCTGTAGAGACGAAATGTATTATTTTTGTATGTAAACGGCACTTTTATCAAACCACTGCTGGATGAGGGTCGCTCACAATGTGCGGAGGTGATTTGACCAGGTTTCACCATGATATTCAGTGTGGAGTGCGGGTTGAAGGTGGAAGCAGAGATGTGGAACAAAAAGATCAGTCGAACAATGGATTTTGCAGCACTGCCCTCTGCTGCCCACTACGTAGTCCCACAGACTATGACAACATGTTTATGCATGGTGGTCGAAAATTCCAAGCACTATCAAAGGATCAACTCCTTTGCTTTTGAGATGTGATGGGATCGGGGTGATTTGGTCATCGACATTTTTTAAAATAAATGCCTATGACAGTTGACGAGGAAATGAAATAAAATATTGAGCAGCATATTTTCCACTGAATGAATAAATGGTATTTAAGTGCAATGTTCTTATTGCAAACTTAAAGGACTGGATCAGCACAAAAATAAAATATATATTTTCTTATAAACACAAAAAGTCTTTAAAGGGAAATTTTTGATGTAACAGTTAAGCCTTTACATTGTATAGCATTAGAGCACTGCTGACTAATACAAAACAATCTTATTAACAAAGCTTAAAGAGGTCATTAGATAGGGCCACAACACATAGCCCAAGTGTGAAATAACTCAAAAGTAATCTTGTTTTGACGCTTTCGTGACTGCAGGAATCCATACTCTTTGGTTCTTTCGGTAAAGTCACGTAGGTAGAAATAAAACAAAATAAATCATGACGTTTCGAACGCAACACAAGCGCCCGTCTTCAGGTTAAAATTGCGTTTGAAACGTCGTGATTTATTTTGTTTTATTTCTACCTACGTGACTTTACCGAAAGAACCAGAGAGTAACTAAAAAGTAGTAAACATTCTATATTGCAATGTCATTAAATGCAGAAATGTCCATTAAGGACTCTAACTGAAAGCAATGTAATATTAAACCAGCCATTGGCTATCATTTTGAAGATAATATACTTGTGAGATCTCTTAAATAGGTGCACATCCTCAAGTGCTGCCCATTTTCAATTGCTCCACTATAAAGATGTAAACCATATCGCAATTAAACCAAATATTTCAAAAACCTCACAGCTGACAAAACTTTTAATTATCTGAAAACCAAATTCCATTACTTTTTGTGCAGTTATTGGTGACCAAGCTAATACCATTAAATCACAACACTTAAGGACCCGGCTTGATCACAGATGTATGTTGAACTTCTTTCGCACCGTACGTAGCCAAACATACTAAGCTGAGCCTCGGATTGGAACCCATAATTATCAACGATGCTGGCTCAATGCTTTTACAAAGGACTGACCCCGAGCCATCCAACCACTCCTTTGCTATCTGTTTTGTTGCCACGAGTCTTGATTTTCGTGCACCGTTATGTAACTGTACATTGACAGCGCTGGGTAATAACATACCGCAGCACGATGTTTGTCCGGGGAAATCCTTGCCACATCTGCCTGCACTCAGGGCATTCCGCACGGCGCGAGGAGTTCCACCAGAGCGCCAAGCAGTGGCGGCAGAAGCTGTGTCCGCATGTCAGCGTGGTTGGGTCGAGAAGCAGCTCATAGCAGCAGTGGCAAGCCATCTCTCCGAGAGACAGCCGCCCATCGCTCTCCCCCGGTGTCCGACTGCCATCACCAAGCGTGGCGGTCCCATGCCACGGCAGGCTGGGCACAAAGGCGCCCACCTCGTCGTCCATTGAGTTGCTCGTCTTCAAAAAATGACAATGGAGTCCCGCAGGGCTTGCGTTGTCTGCGATAATTGCATTGCGCGATGCCTCATTTACAGGCTTGTAAATGAGGCAGTCGTTATCAATGCCGATCGTTCATGTAATGTAAGTGATTGTAGTATGAAATACAAATTTACTTAGTATACATTAAATTTGGAACTCGACTCGATCCGAGTTAAGTGTGCTTGGTTCCTACGATCCGCCAAACTTCGTAGAATCTGAAACAACAGTACGAATGTCTCTTGGTTACAAAACAGACGAGTTTCAAAACACAACCATTGTCACGTCAATCACAACCACATCCACTCCCTTTATGTATTTAGAAAATCTTTCGCACTGTACATAGCCAACCATGCTCATTGGAGGTGGCATTTACAACCACTTCAACTACCTCTTTTCAAACACCAAACTGAAACCTTTTACAAGGAATCATGTCTGCATTAACCACAATGCTTGTGGTCAGAATGCAAAAAAACATGCTTTGATCATATATGCATTTTCCTTGTTTTGTTGCCAGAAAAAGGGGAAAACATATTATCATATTTTGGTACTGTACTGGCAAAGGAGGTCCCATGATGTAGACGCTCACCACCGAGCTCTCATTACTCTGATAGTTGCATTGTCTTTGGGCTGTACGCCTTTGGCGTCCTCTGGTCAGTACCAAAATATGATATGTTTTTCCCCTTTTTTCTGGCAAGAAAACAAGAACAATGTAAATATGATCAGAGCGTGTTTTTTTTTGCATTCTGACCACAAGCATTGTGGTTAATGCAGACATGATTCCTTGTAAAAGGTTTCAGTTTGCTGTTTTAACATCTTAACACATGTTTTGTGGCCAGAAAAAAGGGGAAACCCCTATTATCCTATTCTTATATTCTTTGAAACAGATTGGCCAACACCAGAGACAGCCTTCTTCTTTGTGGCCGTGTCTCAACAGTGCCACACGAGAGAACGCCAAAAGGTGAACAGTACGGTACAGTACCAGTATCCTCGTACGATTTCCAGCAGTGGGTGCCTCTCACGTACACTGCTGGCAGCTACCCAATCAAGTTCCGGTGGCAAAGTCACGTAAATACACTGGTGATGGAACAGCGAGGAGTGCTACCTGATCATTCAGTACTCGGTGTATCTGCCTGTAGGAAATTATAATTACGACGATGCTGAATACTGGTGACAATGATGATGACAGGAATGCCAATGATTATGATGACAGGAATGCCAATGATTGTGATGACAGATACGCTAATGCAGTTTTTAATTATAAATATTCCGAGATTATGATGAAAGGTTAGTGAATATAATAGTTCGATAATGATGGTGCTGTTGGCAACAGTGGCAATGATTACAATGACAGTGATGATGAATAGTGGTTAACAGTAATGATCGGTGGTGATGATTGATACTGAAATGAAATAATAACAGTGGAGTTGATGAGGGTGATAATGTAGTGATAAGTGGTGGAGATAATGGCGATGATGATCAGTGATGCTCACGATAACTTTAATAATAGTAGTGTATGATACTTTAGTGACACTAGTGGAAACGATTAGATTCATTGTGACCATAACGATTTGAACCCACGACGGCAATAGATAAACAACTCCATCATGCGCTGCTAGATTGAAAGTCTGCCAAGGCAGGCGACATCTCTCATCGATGGCTTATCAACCCTTTACCAAACATTAGAGCCTTGACCCTACACCGGCGCTCACAAACAGCAAAAAAACAAAGATCTTCCGGATAACCTTCAACAAGACTGTTGGGGCAAGTGCTGTTAGCGAGCACCTATGAAGGCCAGCACAGCACACCAAGTGTGGTGGGTGGCGAGCAACACGCCCGGCCGCCTTTGTCTCCCCATTTGAGGCCGAGTCGACCTAGGGGGGAGGCCCAGGACAGGTGAAGATTGATCGTCACCGGTGGTGGCCGCGAGAGCGGAAATCGTTACAACCACAGCAACACAAGCACCAAGGCAGTCATCGACACGTTCCCGATCGAATCACCGCTGGATGAAGGCAATCCACGTAGCATCTACACGCGAACTTATTCCGTCGCGACGCAACGCAAATAAAACACCGACACGACGAATTTAACAACAACAACAACAAAAACATGAGAACATCGAGGAAACCCCACACCGAGGATCTGGGCCTAAGGGGAGTTTACAACCTCGCCTAGAAGCCCCCCCCCCGATCACCTCGCCTGCGTTGATGTCCAGCTCGAGGGTGCTTCTGTCCCTTTCTCTCGTCGCCGAGGCCTGGCGGCAACCCGCGTTTTGGGGGGGCTGGTGGTCGTGGTGGTGATGCCCCCCAAAAACAACCGAACTCGTCCTCCTGGTGGCCCCTCGCCGCTAAATTGTTAAAGCCCAGCCGGGATCGGTGGGCCTCCCGTACTCTCTCACCTGATTGGCCGATAGGTTGCTTCGCCGCGTGACGCGGTGACTCTCAGCCAATCGCGTGAGAGAGCGAGGAGCGAAGCTCCACCCCCTAATTCTCTTCCCCACCCCCGATATGCAAAGTGTGTGGGCGGGGTTAGTTGGTGGGCGGGGCGACAGGGGAGAGGGGGCTTAGTGTCGTGAGTAAGTGGGGCAATGGGCGACACGTGGCGTGTTTGTGTGTTGTTGTTGTTGTTGCTGCCAGCAGTGTTTGTTTGGGGAGCGGTGGTGTAGCGGTTAGCGCGCTGCGCTCCGGCGACCCGGCGAGACCCGAGTTCGATTCCCGCTCACGGCCACCAACACCGGTGACGATGATTTGAACCGGTCATGGGCCTCCCCTAGGTCGACTTAGCCTCAAATGGTTGCGGTGTGTAAACATCGCCACTGGGGAGACAAAGGCGGTCAAGCGTGGTGTTGGCCACCCCACCCCCTCGTGTACCGGACCGGACTTCATAGGCGCTCGCTAATAAGACTTTCCCCAATAGTGTGTCCAGGCTATACAGGGCATCTTTGTCTTTGCCCCAACATCCCCATGACCCCACGTTATGATGATTGCCTTAATTCGCTTCGCAGGCGTGGCCACGCGCTATGATGAGCGTGGGAAGAGCCCCTTCCCCCATCTCAATGTGTGTTGTGGTGAGAATTCTACGTGGCAGGTGCCATAGGTCCACGGTTATTGCCTGGTATACAAGAGGTCGTGGGTTCGCTCACGAGCCTGACGACTGCATATTTGTAGTTTGGGGCCGTCCATAAATGACGTCACACACCTAGGGGGGGTTTGAGAAATGTGACGTCACATCAAAATGCGCAACTTTAAGTAAATATAAACAATATAATTGTTATAACAACACTGATTTTGATTAATTTTCATTATTAACTATTTGATTATTTAAATTTACTAAGGTCACCTTTTATTTATTCCATAAAGGAGCATTTTGCTTCTCCGTGGGAGAATGGAGAATCATTAATTTTGTACATTTTTTAAATGATTGTTATTAAAATTTTTATTTTAATAATTCTACCAGGGCTTTTCATTCTGCGGAATGAATATGTGGTTGTTATAATTGTACTCTCCAATTTGCTTCGTTCTACAAAGTTTCAAGTATTTTTGTATGGTTATAATTACTTTTCATATTTTATAATTATAAGAGACCCATAGAGATACATTTTAATGCTAAATTGAAGCTTTCCAACGCCTCCTTTTTAATAAATGTTTTCTCCTACAACATCAGAGTGCAGAGCCACATCAAATACGCACTACAATGACAATAGTTTAAAGTGCTTTGAAGCATGTTTTATTTTCTAAATGGAATATGATTTGGGGGGGGGGGGGGTGGCAGAGCTTTGTGACGTCATATTTGAGGGGGGTCTGACTTTGTGACGCCGTGTGACGAGGGGGGGAGGGGGGTCAAAAATCGGCCAAAATCGCGTGACGTCATTTATGGACGGCCCCTTTTGCATGTTCTGCCAGCGGTCGCAGTGTTAATGACAAATGTGTTGAGTGGTTTTCTCCGCCTGGATAGCGCTTGGATGATATAATCCTGATGCACACAGGTTACCATGACTGAGGGTCTTCTTTGGGGCCGTCCATAAATGACGTCACGCGATTTTGGACGGTTTTTGACCCCCCCCTCGTCACACGGCGTCACAAAAAGTCAGACCCCCCCTCAAATATGACGTCACAAAGCTCTGCCACCCACCCCCCCAAAAAACATGTTTCAAATCGCTTTAAACTATTGTCATTGTAGTGCGTATTTAATGTGGCGCTGCACTCTGATGTTGTAGGAGAAAACATTTATTAAAAAGTCTTTAATTAAGTAGAAAATGTCTATATTTATTTAAACTTGCGCATTTTGATGTGACATCACATTTCTCAAACGCCCCCCCCCCCATCACACATTGTCACAAATGTCTGACCTCCCCCCCCTCTGGGTGCGTGACGTCATTTATGGACGGCCCCTTTGTGCGGCAGTGCAGCCAAATCGATGTTCTCGATGCCGTCAACTTGACGAATCCGCGCCTCTCTCAACGCGTGGCGAATAAAAGCTGCCGGTGTAGAAATGGCGTCAACTCTCCAGCCGCGTACAGCCCTGCACGGCAGGTGGCGCTGTCGCCCGTTCGCGCTGGTAACAAATGCGATTCCGCACACAGATCAACACGAAACGTAGGTATTAAATAAATAAATTACGACGTTTCGGGCACAACACAAGCGTCCATCATCAGGTGGGAAAGCATGGTCTGCTGTTGAGGCAGACTGTTTTAAAAGGTTTTTTTGTGTGTTGCGCCCGAAACGTCGTGAGTTATTTTATTTTCTACCTACGTGACTTTACCGAAAGACTCTTAGGTTTTGTTCGGTAAAGTCACGTAGGTAAAAATAAATAATACAATTATATAATAATATAAATAATAATATGATTGATAATAATGTGATTTTTTTACTTCTACAATTATTATTTATATGATTTTTATTTATTTATTTCCCTACGTGATTTTACCGAAAAAAACCTAAGAGTATGAATCCTTGCAGTCACGAAAGCTTCAAATCTAGAACAAAACTTTGGGTCAAACGTCGATCCAAACCGTTCCGACCGCACGCCAACGTTGGCTCGACGTTGCACGCTGACTGCGAGTGCTCGCTCAAGCCACTGCTGTCAGAAGAGCCTCCGCTAAAAGTCAAGTCTAGAGGGTAACTTGGTCTACTCTTCCACGGTTACCAGGCGTTTGAGAAGAGGTGGGGCGTACGTCACGTGTGGTGTGCTCATATATATTTCTGGGTGGACAGAGGCGAGGGTATTTAAGAAACTCGCCCTATTTGATGATTTTAAGAAACGTGTCCATCGCACCGTGAAATCGAACCTAACCGGCGAGCTCTGTGCTATGTTGTAGATGCACTTGCAAAATATATATCCATCAAGTGGATGCCTTTCCGCCAGCAGTGAATATGGACTGTACGTTGAATGTATTTCCCACCGTACGTAGCCAACCGCACCAATCGGGGTTTACGGGAGAAAGACAACAAACTAAACGCCAAAGGCAATTGTATAGAAGTACGTTTTCAATCCAGATTTGAAAGTTCATAGCTCAAGTGGCTTCCTAGTTTTGAAAGGAAGAGCGTTCCAGACGGCCGCAGAGGCTCGCCTGAAAGCGCGCGATGGCAGTGCCCATCTTTGTTCGATGGCTTAGCCAAAATCATCCGCTGCGATGATGACCGAAGTTCGCGTGGTGGTGGTTTATTGCTCCTATACGAGATCAGCGAGGTAGGACGTGGACAAGCAATTGCACTCCTGCCCACTGCTCTTACCTTTCACTCCAACACATTGGAGGTGGTCGTTGGGGTCATAAAGCCGAACACGAACCTAGTGAGAGTGGCCGGGATGAGACAATGAAACTCGGGCAGGGTCCGCGGAACGTCGATTTGATATTTAAGCAGCAATTAATCGATCAATTTGGCCCGTTTCATATCGAACAATGGCAATTAATTAATCGGCAATGGCAATTGACTGTCGGGTAAAGTTTCGCCCCTATTGGATTATATCTAACAGCTTCAGCACGTAGGCTTTCGCGACCAATATTATCCATAACACGTAAATATAAATGTGTTTTGAGTTTACTCACCAACACACCGGTGCGCGGAACTCGAAATGGATTGGCACGTTTTGTTTACGTGACAACCTCTACTAATTGGCCGTGTCGGGTGGTGGCGGATTTAACGACACATTTATATTCACGCGCTATAACCCAAAAACACCGCTCTATTATGGATCTGTACTAGCGTTGTCGTGATTGCTCGCTTAAACCGCCGTTAAATAACAGACGGACCTGGGGATATTGGATTGCCGCTCTCAGACTTCACGTTCATGCACAGGCGACCCCACGCCCCCTCCTATCTCTCTACTCCCGCGCACAGATGTGCAACGCCGCTAGTTTCGGCATTTTTAAAAATACACCCCGCGCCGCGCTTCCCCATTCCGACTTCCACCGGCTGCGTTTAAATGCGGACAAAAATTGCAACGTGCCAGCGATTCCAAGGTGAGGTGGTTTCTGGTGCTACTCCTTTTGCGTGCGGTGGCGGCATCGTGAGAAATGCTGCTGGCCACCGACGAGAGGGGGACTTCAGGAGAGAGATCGTGTCGTCTTGCTACTCCTCCACCTCCTCCGTTGACGGAGCTCAGACTGAAGTGGTTCACTATGTGCTCCATAGGTTGAGTTCCACGGCCACAATTGCACCGCTGTGGCTTGTCTTTGAATGTCCAATGGTTGGTGCTGGTGTGGACTCGAGTCATGTGACTTGGACTCGAGTCAGACTCGAGTCATGAATTTGATGACTTCAGACTCGACTTGGACTTGCATAACAATGACTTTGTCCGACCTCTGAGGTGTGGACTCGAGTCATGTGACTTGGACTCGAGTCAGACTCGAGTCATGAATTTGATGACTTCAGACTCGACTTGGACTTGCATAACAATGACTTTGTCCCACCTCTGGTTGGTGGCGTGTGGTGGTTATTATTGGGAGGGGGGAGCGGTGGTGCAGTGGTTAGGTTAGCGCACTGTGTTTAGAAACCCAAGTTCAAAGGATCCCCTGCCATGGCTAACCCCAGTGGCGAATTGTATCACGATCTGTCTTTGGATTCACCATCACCACTGATCAGTGCAGTCAGCAGTCCTCTGAAGTCAAACGCGGCACGTGGACGTCTTCATCCCCACCGGTGGACTTGCCGATACTAAGTTTATTTGATTTGTTACACGGATCATGACCCCGTGTAGCCAGTTTCCAGGTTGTTGTGGTGCGTGAGCACAGCAATAACAGCGACCACAAAGACGAAAACATCATCAATACTGCAGGAAATATCTCAACAACTAACAAGCGAGGTATGTAACGGCCCGCAAACGAAACAGAAGCGGATCAAAAAGACTGCGAATATAACACGAGAACGAGAAACATGCGTCTTTCTATGTTCCACGAAAATCAGCGCGCACGCGGGCTCAGTGGTTTTTGATGTCGTGACTTCTGGGTTTAAATCAATTCCTCGCCACCATGAGAGAGCTCGCAGCCTTTCTTTGTTTGGTGGAAGCCAAAACCACGGGACAAAACACATTCCTGCGGAGGGAGCTGGTAGGAACGTTGGGTTGCTCGGTCAATGGCCAGGGTCAACGGCGGCGTGGTGTATTCCGCAAATATGCCCGACTGTGAGGGCGGGCACAAGCCGGGGTGAGTAAGTTAAACGTTGCGTTTTATAAGGGCACCACGGGGTGACCAGCCCCTCCCCACCCAGCCCCACCCCTCCCACCCCCACCCAGCCCCTTTCCACCCAGCCCCTTCCCACCCTCCCCTCCCCACCCATCCCCTCCCTCCCCCCCACCCAGCCCCCTCCCTGCACGACGGACGGACACAATAATCCCCTGTGGGCTGGTGGAACCAGTGGGTTCCTGCCAGTAAAATACGTGGATTGAGTCACCTTCTTCTTGCGACTTGCATCTTCCCCCCCCCCCCCCGTAGTTTCCGTGTAGACTCAGGAGGAGGTCGGCTCTTTAAGAACTACTCCGTAATTGTTGTTTATTGGGTAACCACAAAGACAAAGATCCCCCGTATAGCCTTAACAGACTGTAGGGGCAAGTGCTGTTAGCGAGCGCCTATAAAGGCCGGCACGGCACACAAGGGGTGTGTGGCCAACACCACGGCCGCCCGCCTTTGTCTCCCTAGTGGCGATGTTCACACATCGCACGGGGTACTTTTTTGAGGCTGAGTCGACCTAGGGGAGGCCCAGGACCGGTTCAGATAATCGTCACTGGTGTTGGCCGTGAGCTAGAATCGAGCCCGGGTCGCCAGAACCACCGTCTCCTATTTGAGTGCATTGCGGCTCTTGGAATTTTGAAGGGGTTTATTTTTTTTACCGAATTCAACAAAAGCTATTAAAAGCTATTAACATGCATTTGTTATCATGTTACAGTGTTTTATTCGATGCTGCAAACAGCATCGAACACAGACTCTTTGCGGGCACCTTTCGAGCACTGTACAAAAGTTGGGAGATTCGAGGAAAAAAAACGTGTCGAGACGCGTGCTTAGAGAAAGAGGACAACACGTGGAACAGGTTACCAAACGTGAGTCGCGGAGGTTATCGTATCGACTCTTTATAAACGGGAAGATGAAGCGGACTTGGACAGGACGCATCGCGCACGGCCAGACAGACGAGTCGGGTGCTGAATTGTCAGTCGAAGAAGGGAACAACGCCCCGGAGAACGGTCACTTCAAAGGGAGATCCCATCTCGCTTGTGTGGCATCGCTGGACGACGAGGAATGGTGAAAGATGTGCGGAAATATGATTATCAATCCGGCAGTGTTGTCTTCTGCCATTTTTCAAAGAACTCAAAATATACTTGTAAAACAAATTTAATGTCCCACTCCCAAACTCTGCATGCCCACAGCTTCTCCTTTGACTTTACAAACAACGAAACGGGAACTCGCAGTCGTTTATGTTGATGCGCACGGAAGAAATGCGCGTGCGAGTGGCACGCGCATGTGTGCGTGTGTGTAGTGAGGAGCGGTGGTGTAGCGGTTAGCGCTACGCTGCGCTACAAACACGAGTTCGATTCCCGCTCACGGCCAACACCGGTGACGATTGTCTGAATCGGTCCTGGGCCCCCCGCTAGGACGACTAAGCCTCAAATGAGTACCTGGCGCGGTGCGTAAACATCGACACAAGGAAGACAAAGGCGACAGGGCGTAGTGCTGGCCACCCGCCCCCCTCGTGTGCCGTGCCGGCCCTTATAGATGCTCGCTAACAGCACATGCCCCAACAATATGTTAAGGCTATACGGGAGATATTTGTCTTTGTCGGTGAGCGTGTGGCTCTCTGCAAGCTCGATCAGTGGCAGTGTGCGCTTGTGGCACAGACCGTGTGCCTGTTCGTTTGCGCGTCTCCATTGAGGGTGCGATCTGTATTGGCGAATGCCGATGCGTGTGCCAGGCGGATCCGTGCGTGTGGAGTGCGCTCCGGCGTGGTGCACGTGTGCGCATCGGCGTGCGCGCGTGACATAGCAGGTTGGCGTGTGTGTGTGTGCGTGTGTGTGCGTGTGCGTGTGTGCGCGTGTGTGTGTGCGCGCGTGTGCGCGTGTGTGCGCGTGTGTGCGCGTGTGTGTGTGCGTGTGTGTGTGTGCGTGTGTGTGTGTGTGCGTGTGTTTGCGTGTGTATGTGCGCGTGTGTGTGTGTGCGTGTGTATGTGTGCGTGTGTGTGAGCGTGTGTGTGTGCGCGTGTGTGTGCGCGCGTGTGTGTGTGTGCGTGTATGTGTGCGTGTGTGTATGCGTGCGTGTATGTGTGCGTGTTTGTGCACACATGCGTGCGCGTGATATCGTGTGGGCGAGATGCTGTCGGGTACGTGTGTGAGCGTGCGCGTGCAAATCAGTGGAGTGAAAGTGAGAGCTCGTGTGTGAGCGCGTGCATGTATCTACTCGGCTTCAAATGAGTACCTGGTAACCATCGCCACTCGGGAGACAAAGGCGGCCGGTTGTGGTGTTGGCCACCCACAACCTCGTGTGCAATTACGCTCTTCATAGGTGCTCGCTATCCGCACTTGCTCCCACAATCGAGACTTCACGGGGGTCTCTGTGCGTGAGCGCGTGTGTTGGTGTCACAAGAGAGGCGTCGGCGGGGGAGGGGGAACGAGTTGCGCTTCATTTCGGAGGGAGACCCCTCGCTTCCCTGCGCTCGCTCCCGCTCCCAGACAGCCGCCCTCTCCTCTCGCGCCATGGCGAGGCTCGTGTCGTGGCGGAGTTTCCCGGCCGCGTTGCTCCTCGCGTCTCTGGGTCTCGTGGCTCCCCCCGCGACGCTCGGTTTCTTCCTTCGGAAGTGCATTCAGGACGCCAGGTTCGAGACGTCGGTGGCGTGCGTGGACGCGCGCATCACGGACGCGCGGGACGCAATCGCTGACCTCCACGGGAGCCCACAGACCCTAAACCTGTCCCGCAACGAGATCGCTCAGCTCACGTCGGGCGGGTTCAAGAATTTGAGTCGGCTCGTGAACCTGCGCCTCGACAGGAACCGCATCCGCAGCATCCAGCCGGGTGCCTTCGAAGGGCTCAAGGGTCTGCGCAGCCTCAACCTCACAGGGAACAACATCGCCCACCTGGAAGCGGACGCCTTCAAAGGAGCAGAAGGTCTCCTCGAGCTCCTGCTCGCTGGGAACACGCTGAAGGTCGCGCCCGAGCCGTTTCGACCGCTGCGACAACTTGTGAACGTGAGCCTGATGGAGAACTCCCTCTGCGACTTCTCTCGCGTCGTGGAAGCCGTGTCCGTGCTGCCGAGCCTGCGCTCTCTCGACCTCGACGGGAACAACTTCGCCGTGCTCAGCGTGAGTGGGGCGAGCATCAGGCTCCCTGGGAGCGTCAGGAGCCTTCACATCGCCGGGTGCGGCGTCCACAGAATCACGCTGCCCGGTGACTTCTTCGCGAACGTCGCTTTCCTCGACATGTCCCGCAACAACCTGACGGACGCATCGGGCCTGGCGGCACTCAAACTGAGCAGAGTCGAGGAGGTGTTCTTGGGAGCGAATAATCTCAGCAGCGGCGCCTTCAAGCAGCTGCGTTCTCTGTCGCCCACGACGCTACACATGACCAGCGCGGGGCTGAGCAGCACGAGGAGTTTGCAATCGCTTTGCAACTCGACCTTGGGACGGCGAGTGAGCACCCTCACGCTGCTCTCAAACGACATTCGTGCGTTCACGGACGCCTTCACCTGGTGCCGCGAGCTCGCGAGTCTTGACCTCTCGATCAACAACCTCAAGTCCATGGGGAAATACGAACTGGTCAACGGTTCCAGCAGGCTGCGCGATCTGACCGTGCAGCACAACCACCTCACTTCGCTTGAGTCTTGCTGGAACAGCAACGCGAATACTCTGCGGTGTGCCAATCTCTCTCAGCTCGAGACTCTGGCCCTCACCTACAACAGGATCACGCATCTGGACGGACACGCGCTAATCCACGCCCCGAATCTGCTCTCCCTTGCCCTAAACTTCAACACGATCGCAACCATCAACTTCACGGCCTTTGCAGGCCTCACCAGACTTGTGCATCTCCGTCTGGACAACAACCTCATCACAAACATCAGAAAACAATTCTTCCACGGTCTGGATAACTTGGAAACCCTCAACATGAGGAACAATAAGGTAACCACGATCTTCTCGCACACCTTCACGTTTCTGAAACATCTTCAGATTTTGGATCTGGGTGGAAACCGCATCTCTTCGTTGAAACAAAACGCAATGTCCGGACTGCATCGTCTGAGGAATCTCTACATTGATGGGAACTTCCTCAGGATCATTAATTCGCATATGTTCAATGGGCTGCACTCGCTCCATAACCTTGACTTGGTCCGAAACAGCATTTCATACAAATATCGCTGCCAGAGCAACTCTCCATTCGTGAACCTCACCAACCTCACCACGCTCAAGCTGAGCGCCCAGCAGCCGTACGGACTGCAGAGCATCCCCGTCGACCTCTTCACGGGTCTACGATCGCTCAAGTACCTTTACCTGGCAGGGAACAAGATCACCTTCCACAACACGCTGCCATTCGACGAACTGGTGAACCTAAAATACCTGGGCATGCAAGACGTGTGTAGCGGCCTGCAGAACATGAATGCGAACATGTTCCAGAAACTCACACAGCTCGGGACTCTGGATCTGGGCAACATCGGCATCAACTTCCTGAACAAAAAACAGTTCCAGAATCAGAGCAACATGCGCGTCCTCTACCTGGGCGCCAACGGAATCAGGGCCATGATCGAGGACGTGATCGCACCCATGAAGGAGCTGCGCTACCTGGACGTGACCTCCAATCCCCTGCAGTGCACGTGCGATAACGCGTGGTTCAAGAACTGGTCGCGGAGCAGCGACGTGCAGGTGGTCGGCCTCTACGGCGTCTCGTGCTCCGGCGACAACGGCGCGGCGGGCAACTCGTCCCGTCTCTTCGTCGACTTCGACGCCTCCGTGTGCTACGAGAAGTGGGGCAAGGTCATGTTCATGCTCACGCTGCCCTTCTTCTCGCTGCTCACGGCGTGCCCGCTCGTGTTCGTGAAGGCGCGCTGGCACATCCGCTACGGCTACTACATGTTCCGCGCCTGGTTCCGCGAGTACCGGCGTCGTGACGAGGACGCGCGCGCCTACGACTACGACGCCTTCATCTCCTACAACTCCCGCGACGAGGACTGGGTCATGGCCGAGCTGGTGCCGCGGCTGGAGCAGGAGGGGCCCACGTTCTGCAAGCTGTGCCTGCACCACCGCGACTTCGCACTGGGCAAGTACATCGTGGACAACATCGTGGACGCCATCTACAGGAGCCGCAAGACCGTCTGCGTGATCAGCCACAGCTACCTGGAGAGCGAGTGGTGTTCGTGGGAGATCCAGATGGCCGCCTACCGCCTCTTCGACGAGCACAAGGACGTGGTCATCATGGTCTTTCTGGAGGACATCCCCGACTACAAGCTTTCCGCCTACCACCGCATGCGCAAGATCATCGGCGACAAGACGTACATCAACTGGCCCGAGGATGCTGCCGGGAAGGACCTCTTCTGGGCGAAGCTGCGAGCGGCGATCAGAGGACCTCTGGCCATGGAGAGCCGCCTCGTGTGACGAGAACCCCCAACGCACTGACAGTGAGGTGGAGGGTGCGCTGGGGTACGGATCATGCTGTGGTGGTAAAGCAGTTTAACGCGCCGCGCTGTGAACCTCGATACCCAAGTTCGATTCCCGCTCACGGCCAATACCAAGTGACGATTGTCTGAACCGGTCCTGGGCATCCCCTAGGTCGACTCAGCCTCAAATGAGTACCTGTTGCGGTGTGTAAACATCGCCGCTAGGGAGTAGGGAGAGAAGGGCGGCCGGGCGTGGCGCTGGCCAACCACCCCCTTTCTCGTGCCATGCCGGTCTTTATAGGTGCTCGCTAATTTGTTTCAGGCTATACGGGGGATCTTTGTCTTTGTAGTTGCGTGTGACGTGTTACGAACACACAAAGTCAGCAAAGGCATTGGCCCACCCTTTACCACCATCCTTCATGTAGATAGGTGATCGGGGGCAGATATATGCATGTTTGACTTCTTTCGCACCGTGCGTAGCCAACCTTGCTAATCGGAGGTGTGAGGAAGGACGACAAACTGAACCAAAAAAGCAGTTTTAAAGAAATGAGTTTTTAATCTAGATTTAAAAGTGCCGTAGCTCCATTGGTTTCCTAATATCGGAAGGAAGAGCGTTGCAGACGGCCGCAGAATCGCGTCTGAAAGCGCGCGATGCGGTGACCTTCTTTGTTCAATGGCCAGATGAAACATAGTGAACCGGGTGTGGAGTTGGTTTTTCATGAAGGGTACAGGGCATGTGGCTTATCACCCCTCCTTCGCCTGCTCCCTCCACAACGTTGAGATAATCGATTCTCTCCCCCGCCCCCACATACAACCGCCGCCCCTCATAGACTTACATAATTAGCCATTAATTCGCATCAAGGCTCATCTCACGGAGGGTTGTGCTATCGCGATGTAGGGTCACTTCCTTTTACTGGTAGGAACCTCCTGGTTACACCAGCCCACAGGGGATTATTGTGTCCGTCCGTCGTGCAGGGAGGGGCTGGGTGGGGAGGGATGGAGGGGCTGGGTGGGGAGGGGAGGGTGGGAAGGGGCTGGGTGGGGAGGGGAGGGTGGGGAGGGGCTGGGTGGGGAGGGTGGGGCTGGGTGGGGGGTTGGAGGGATGGGGCTGGGTGGGGAGGGGCTGGTCACCCCGTGGTGCCCTTATAAAACTCAACGTTTAACCTACTCACACCGGCTTGTGCCCGTCCTCACAGTCGGGCATATTTGCGGAATACACCACGCCGCCGTTGACCCTGGCCATTGACCGAGCAACCCAACGTGCCTACCAGCTCCCTCCGCAATAATGTGTTTGTAATGAGTTATTAGGGAAGGCGAAGTCCTCCGAGAAACCCCCCCCCCCCCCACACACGGGAGGGTTCAACTCTGTGGGGTCAGACGGCTTCACGGGTTTGCAGGCTCCACTATCGTCACCGTCGTCCCTGGCGCATCAACTGCTGGCTCAAGGACTTCCAACGCAGTTGCAATCCCTCGCTTGCCACAATCCGAAGTCGCCGCTGTACACAAGTCCATCTGACCGTCGCTCCATCTGCGTAGCGGTCGCCCTCTTGGGCAAGGTTCTTTCTGCTGGGCTGCCATTCCGTAACCAGTCCCATCATCCAATCTCGACGATTGTGTCTGTCCAACTGACTTGTCTTTTATTATCAATGTGATGGCTCCGATATATTTTTTGTTCGATGATTCATGCGTTTCTTCCTGCTATGTGTCTCAGTGCAATTTAAATGCATGCGTGTCTCCTCTGCTTGTTAGCCTGTTTGATTAGTATAGCCATCGCATTGCATTAACTGCCGGCAAAATATTAAGAAAACATATGCAATTCGATAAGAATCAGTTTTCACATATGCATCGATGCTTCTTGATACCGTTGTTGGATCCTGGAAGTATCTTTACCGTAGTTTTTAAATCACGCTTTTACTTGAATATTGAACGTCCAGGCCGCGAGAATGTGGGCGACAAAACTATAAACACGTTGAAGAGTGAACCGCTGCAGCGATGCTGTGTGATTTATTGTAACACTTTTATTTTCCACACATATTGCACCGGCTGTAACGTCAACACCATCAGCAGACTCCTTCGCAAGAGAGACTAAGATCTACACGGGATTCGAACAGGGATGATTGGCGTCAATTGCGACTATTCACCGATTGCAAATAAAAATGCGACTATTTTTCGTGGTCAATTATCTGAAAAATATTGGCCACCCCAACATCCCGCCTCCCTGAAGGCTGGAAACCCCCAACAAGCCACGCCCAACGTGCCGCGGTCGCTTGACACGGTCACGAAGCCCCCCCCCATCACCTCCCGTCCAGCGGCACACGTGGGAGCAGATTACGTGACTTCTTCTTTGTCCACTGCAAATAATTTCTTTTTATCCGATTGGTCCAGTCATATAACATATATTCGTTCTAGATTTGAAGTTTTCGTGACCTTGCTTTTTTCGGTTGTCACGTAGGTAAAACATATAAAATAAATTAAAATGAAAACAAATACAATTAAATCACGACGTTTCGGAAGCAACACAAGCAACCGTCATCAGGTGTTGACTGCTCCAGCAAAAATTACTGAGGCGTCTATATTCGGTAGATTATTTAAACGATCGGATATCCGAACTCTTCTGTCACATGAGGAATGGCTTGACTGCCACCTGCTGGTGTAACTGCGGTGATGTACAGGACGGAGAGTTAATCATTAAATACCCGGACGTATCATGGGCGAGTTATTTTAATTATTTCAATTCAACGCACTATATTTTACGGAAATAACATTGGGGGAATTAAAAAAATATATATATTGAAATGTAATCTTGACCAAGAATCGCGATAATCGAATCGTGGGGTGCGGTGGTGGAGGTTGCTGATTGGCTCAGAGCGTGCGTCGCTCTCATTGGCTGAGCGAATGTAAACAAATATGGCGGCGGGTGGCTTTCCTCGGCCAACGCTGCCACGTGTTCTTACTCGCAAGCGATTTAAATCAAACAAAAACATGAGTAACATTTTACTCCTTGAGCATACAGAGGAAAGTGGAAGCCTACGGCCTATCTGCCCGTGCTATAACGAATAAGCATTCTACGGGGTCGCCCTATGCGACGTCTGCCTGGTATAGTATTTGACATGTGAATGTAAACTAGATGACCCGTGAATGCAACACATAGCAAGGCCCTGCAAGGGTATAACAAATCAACGTTCTCCATACATGGGATCATAACCCATGTCCTGCACTTGCGTCTCCTGGCCACCTTGCAGTTTGATTTTTGTTGATAATTTTCATCGCTTTACTGAGCATAGGCCCAACGCCTTGTAATGCCAAGCGGCCAACGACGTGATGGTCGATCAGAGATCAGGATGCAGGCCGAACGGCTGTTTTGTATACGGAACATTCGACTTACGAACTCCCAGAGATACGAACAAACCTGGTCCGTATGTTCAGTTGCAGCTATTCGGATCGAGAGTCCTAAGCTCAAACGCCGCGCAATAGATGGGGGTGGTGACATCTACATCTACAAAACATGAAGAACCAGTGGCATCTACATCTACAAAACATGAAGAACCAGTGGTATCTACATCTGCAGAACGTGAAGAACCAGTGGCATCTACGTCTCCAGGAGATTGTACAAACTGTGCATTGTAGAAATAAGATGGTATGGATTGGTGAATGGAACTGATGTGTTTAACGTGCACTATTCAGGGTTCTGAATATAGTTGGGCACGTGCTGGGTGCTTGTGCTATTTGTTTCTGTTACTATGGTCGGAACTATTAAGCTATTGATTCATGTCTATTTTTAATCTCAGTATATTCATCGCATCGTGTCAGATTACTATTTGAATAGCATTTTGCAAGTAATGGATGAACTTGACTCCTTCAGCCACTAGAGGCTGCTAGATTCACCACTTTGATGAAAAACGCTTTAAATTACAAAAGGGAGTCTGCATCATGAAAAAAAACATTGAATCAAGAAGGGTGAATCCAAAACCAGAACTATTCTGGCTGAGTGGTATTTCTCTAGAACTGGTGCAGCTGGAGAGAAATCAAGAACTCTCCCACTGCACTCATGCATCATCCAAGCACCATCCACTTCAGGTAGCAGCTCACGGCTCACCTGTCCAGGCTCATCCGTTCAGGTTAAACACCTGCCCAGGCTCACCTCTTCAGGCTAACGCCTGCTCATGCTAATCTGCTGAGGTTCACATCGGATTAAGGTTCACCTGTTCAGGCTCACACCTGCTCAGACTCATCTGTTCAGGTACACCTTTGCTCAGGCTAACCTGTTCAGGCTCACACCTGCCCAGGCTCACTTGTTCAGGCTAACGCCTGCTCATGCTAATCTGCTAAGGTTTGCACCTAGTCAGGCTCATCTGTTCAGGTGCACATTTTCTCAGGCTCACCTGTTCAGGCTCGCATCTTCAGGCATACACCTGCTCAGGCTCACCTGTTCAGGCTCACACCTGTCCAGACTCTCACCTATCCAGACTCTGACCTGTTCAGGATAGCTTACAAGGGATGTTGTGCTCTGACTCCGCGACTCCCAAGTTATCGATCAAAGAATTCGTCTGATTCGTGAAGTATAGGCTCATTTGTGCTTATTATTAAACCACTACTAAGCCATCACTTGACAATTCACCTTGCCAGCGATTCAATTAATTGCCATGATCCGGTATTGCCATGACATTGTCATTACTTCCTATCACGTACAAATGTGTTCGCTCAATGCATACATTTCCCTCCATTAGTAAATAATTTGTATAAATAGTATGTACCTTGATTGATTCTTGCAAGAATACGTTTTCGAGTGCATTTTGAGCATCATAATCTGTATTTAATCCATTGACACGCTACGTTACATGTCCAGTGGTTATTATCGTGCGAGAGACTGACACTCAAAGGAAGGCTTATGAGAAAGAGAGCACTCCTTTTGGAGATACACATCTAGGCTGTGTGCCAGGCTGCGAGTTTGAAGCTGAGCAATTATAAAAAAAACAAGATTTAAAAAACAAAAAATCGCAGTCAAGGACCCTCTGGCATAGTCCTCTCGTGTCCGCCCCGTGAATGGGTGTCGAGTGTGTTTTGTTCTGTCAAGGGTAATATCACTCAAGTGCTCTGAGGACGACGCCGATTGTGGTTTAAAAGTACGTTTCGTCATTGACGACGCTTCGATCTCATTTCGAAAGGGGGCGGGATAAAAATAGAACGGAGTAGGTGTGCATCTACAAGATTAAAGCTACTTTTATTTGAGTCGGGCAAGGCCTGAGATAGATTTAGAGAGCGGCGGAAACTCTCGTATTCCGCACGCCAGTAAAGTGAGGCCAGGGATGTGGTGATGGGAGACCCAGGGTGTTTGATAATCGTTTGAGTCAG